GCCTGAACTTCTAATTTTAAATAGCTATAAGTTAGTGTTTTATTTTTAATATGCTCAGAGACCCATATTTATTGAGATTTTTCTACATCTTCAGTTAGTACAATTTTTAAAGAGTTGATAATTTAGAGTATATTTGGTCCATCCAAGGTATTTTATTTCATGTGCATGTTAAGAGTAAATTATATTTAAATTTTCACTGATGCCAATTTAAATTGTTTCTATTTTTGTACTTAACTTTCATTTTAACTAGCTTCTGTGCTCCAAATGGTTAGAATTTGTGTAAGAGAGAATAAAAGATCAGTATTTCTACTGTACTCAATGTTAAATATAGGGTAGGTCTTATAGAAACACATAGTCCTATAAACTTCATTTTCAGAGAGAATTGTGCTACTTGAGAAGCTTTGTTCTAGGTAAGGTAAAAACACTTTCCTTGGGTTTGCAATAAACTTGCCTTGTACTCTGTTGAGTTCTTTGATTTATAATATATAAGAGATAATGTTATAAAATATTGTATGAATGTAGATAGTAAGTTTTTTCAAAGGCATTTATTAAATTACTAGAGACCCGGTGCTTGGATTTGTGCACTGGTGGGGTTCCTTGGCCTGGCCTGTGGGGATCAGGCAAAAACTGGCTCTCCAACATCCCCTGAGGGGTCCTGGATTGCGAGAGGGTGGTTCTCAGAGGATGCTCCCTGGAATTGGGCTCCCTCCTCTGGTTCTGGGTATGTCACCTGAGAACCGCAGCCTCCAAGTTACCGCAGCTCAGCAGCTCCGCGTTGAGCATCTGCCCCCTGCTGGTCAGTGCATGTCATAGCTACCAGTTGGAACGTCTGCCCCTGGTGGTCATTGTGTATCATACCTACCGGTTGAACAGTCTGACGGTCGCTTAGGCTTTTATATATATAGAAGATAATTACAACTGAGGTTGAGTAAGTATAAAGGTGTTTGTGAGGGTAGTTCAGATTCAAGATATGCTTTGGAGGTTGAATTTATAAGACTTGGTGATTGGTTGAGAGGGAGGAGGAGACAGTGTGATGGATCTCCATTGTTTCTGTTGCACACCTGGATAGACATGCCATTCCTGGAGGAAAAGATCACACCCTTATTCTGTTTTGTCTTTATTTCTATTTTGTTTATCCCTTCTTTCTCTAGCATGCTCATATCTTCTCCAAAGTTTTCTTTAATCCACCCTATCTTATTCATCACTCTTTTGTAAAGGCCATTTTTCTTGCGTTGTCAAGCCTCTCTGCTAGGCCATATGTATGTCACACCCATTCTTTTGCTTATGTTTCTTGCCTGGGAACAGCTCCCGCTTCCCAATCTGTTAAAATCCTGTCTAAGTTTTTCACTGCTCAGCTCAAAACCTACCTTTTTCTTGAAGCCTGTTAAACTTTTTCACTTCCCTTGGACTCCCTTGTCCCTGAAACTTTAAAAAAATTTGCTTCACATAATTTAGCTCTAAAATAGATATGTCATTTTTTTCTTTAGTCACTGTTGTCACCAGATTGTTATGATTACTACTTTATGTTATATTATATTAGGGGCCCGGTGCACAAAATTTGTGCACTGGTGGGGGGGGTTCCCCCAGCCCAGCCTGTCCCCTCTCACAGGCTGGGAGCCCTCAGGGGATTTCCTACTGACAGCTTAGGCCCGCTTCCCATGGAGAGCGGGCCTAAGCCGCAGTCTGGCCTCCCACTGTGGGAAGCAATCGGGCTGCTCAGGGGAAGGCACCAGCCCCATCACCCTGCTGCTGCAGCCACTGCCAGCCACCGCAGCTGCCAAGGTGTTTTCATCAACACGGACTCCAGTCCCTTCACCATGAAAAAAATAACAACTTTCTTTAGGCATTTTCAAGATGTGTCTTTCATAGGATATGACATTTCTTCCTTTCTTTCTTTTTTGTTTTTCTTATCCTCACCTGAGGATATGTTTCCATTGATTTTTAGAGAGTGTGAAGAGAGAGGGAGAGACAGAGAGAAACATCAATGTGAGAGGGACACTTTGATTGGTTGCCTCCTGCATGAGCCCTGACCTGGGCCCGAGCCAGGGAGAAGCCTGCAACCTAGGTACATGCCCTTGATCATAATCGAATCCGGACCCTGCAGTCGGCAGGCCGAGGCTCTATCCACTGAGCCAAACCAGCTAGGGCAGGATATGACATTTCTTAGCCCCTCCAGCAGCAGACCTTAGTTTTTTCCTCCAGGAGTGTGGTGAAAAACCCTAGGCCACCTTGGATTCGTATAACCCAAGTTACCAAGAACACTGCAAGTGGTGACGTACAGGGAGCTTAGCCAATGAGCGGTCAGAAAAGGTCTTTACGCTCGAACTGGTTTGGTTCAGTGGATAGAGCGTCGGCCTGCAGACTGAAGGGTCCCAGGTTTGATTCCTGTTAAGGGCATGTACCTTGGTTGGGGGCACATCTCCAGTGGGAAGTGTGCAGGAGGCAGCTCATCGATGTTTCTCTCTCATCAATGTTTCTGACTGTCTATCCCTCTCCCCTCTTCTCTGTGGAAAAAAAATCAATAAAATATATTTTAAAAAAGAAAGGAAAAGGTGATTCCTCTGCAGCTCATGCGCAGAGGATCCCCTGCGCTGTGTCCACTGGGCTAGGGGCGTGTCCCTGCCGCCGGGGGCAGGGGCACGCCCCCGAGGCCAGCAGCCAGCCCCGCATTGTGGGCACCGGGCTGTGGGGCATGCGGGCCTGGGCCATGTGGTGGCCGCCACCACCAGGGGCACGCCCCCCAGGCCGGCAGCCCCGAGTTGTGGGCACCAGGCTGGGGGGGCGTGGATCTGGGCCGCCGCTTGGTGCCAGCTCACACGCAAGCAGCCACAGGATGGGAACATCCACTTGGCGCTGGCACCTGTAGGCCTGAAGCAGTCGGGGGCGTTCTGGGAACCCAGCCACTCAGGGCCTACATACAGGCCTACAGGCTAGGAGCGGCCTGGGTCCTGAGGATGTTCCTGGGACCCAGGCCACTTGGCATCTGTGTATGCAAATTTACCTGCCATCTTTGTCAGGTTAATTTGCAAACTCACCCCTGATTTGCTGGTGAGCATAGCGGAGGGATGGTCAATTTACATGTTTCTCTTTTATTATGTAGGATTATTTATACACAGCTGTAATGTTATTCAGTGCTTATTCTGGATGTTATTTCATTTGCTACATCTATAGCTTTTTAAGGGAGGTATTTGTATCCATTTCCCAGGTAGGGAATCTATGGTTAGGCTACGTTGTTAAAAAGTGGCAGAACTAATACCTAGGCCCATACTCTAATACAGAGGTGGACAAAACTAAGTTTATAGTTGTTCATATGGAAAATAATACAATAATCCTATATAATGAAAGGGTAATATGCCAATTGACCCTAACGGTGGACCACCAGGAATGACTGGTCGCTATGACATTCACTGATCAGCAGGAGGCAGATGCTCAATGCAGGAGCTTCCCCCTGGAGGTCAGTGCTTCCACAGGAGCACTGGCTCATGCCTGGCCAGTGTAGTGGTGGTGGCGGGAACCTCTCCTGCCACTGCTGCAGCACTAAGGATGTCCGACTAATGGCTTAGGCCCACTCACCATCGGGAGCGGGCCTAAGCCATTAGTTGGACATCCCCTCAGGGCTCCCAGGCTGCCAGAGGGATGTCTGACTACTAGGTGGCGATGCCCCGGGGAGCAGGCCTAAGCCGTCAGTCAGACATCCCCTGAGGGGTCCTGGACTGCGAGAAGGTGCAGGCTGGGCTGAGGGACCTCCCCAAGTGTATGAATTTTTGTGCTCCGGGCCTCTAGTTAATATATAATAATCCTATATAATAAAAGTCTAATATGCTAAGTGTCTGGTCTTCTGGTTGTCCGTGCAACCAGTCAAAGTGTAATATGCTAATGATATGCTAAGGCCATTCAATCACTCACTATGACATGCACTAACCACCAGGGGGCAGACAGTCAGTCGACTGGTCAACCAGTTGCTATGACGTGCACTGACCACCAGGAAGCAGACTCTCTGACAGGTAGGCTAACTTGCTGCTGTGATCTGGCTGATCTAGACTGAGCGAAACAGACCAGACATACCGTGGAGCCCTCCTGTGGTCCCTCCCCATCTGGCCAACCTCCTGTGTCTCTCCCCGGCCCCGATTGTGCACCAATGGAGTCCCTCGGCCTGGCCTGCACCCTCTCATAATCAGGGATCCTTGGGGGATGTCTGAGAGCTGTTTTCGGCTCGATCCCACAGGCATAACAGGCTAATATGCAAATCGACCAAACAGTGGAACAACTGGTTGCTATGACACACACTGACCACCAGGGGGCAGATGCTCAACACAGAACCTGCCCCCTGGTGGTCAGTGCACTCCCACAGGGGGAGCACCGCTGAGCCAGAAGCCAGGCTCACAGCTGGTGAGTGCAGTGGGGGTGGTGGTGGGAGCCTCTCCCACTTCCACGGCAGCGCTAAGGATGTCTGACTGATGGCAGTCAGTTGGATATCCCTCGAGGGCTTCCAGACTGAAAGAGGATGCAGGCTGGGCTGAGGGAACCCCTCCCCCCGAGTTCATGAATTTCGTGCACTGGGCCTCTAGTACAAGAATAAACTTTCATGTTCTCACAACTATAAATCTACTTTTGCCCACCCATGCATATAGTCTTCTATAGGCTGCTTAAGACCTATTTTATATCATCTACATTCTCTGTTTTCATTCATTGATATATACTAAATTCTTACTAAATTTTAAATATTTTTCTTTAACTTCCTATTAACTTTTCATTTGCGGGCATAATCTAAGGCTTTGGATTATTACTATGCCAGTTCAACTTGTTTTACTGATAAAGAAATTATAATTATCTAGAAATATTTATTATGTGCCTAGAATATGTTACAGTCCTGCTTCTCCTTTGAAAATCATCACTTTAAGGTATAGTAGTGTATAATAATGGCACATTATAATTTTAACAGGTATGCTCGTTTTTTTTATGTAGAGGTAAAGATATTTTCTTTTGGATTTTATTTTTAGAAACTGTCATGGAGTTCCTTGAGAAACTATCTGACAAACTTTCAGAAAGGTTCGTTTTTATTCTTCTCTTTAGAATATATGTTATTTATTTTTGTGTGTCCTTTTTAAAGACTTAATATATGAAAAATGAGCAAGTTACCTATTAAGAATGCAAGTATTGGAATACTGGGTCAGGTCTGTGGACTATTGAGTAGGAGGTTAATTGAACTGTGAGATATACTTTGAAAGCACATAGTTGTCTTCCTAAGATGACAACCTTGAAAACTTAGGCCATCCCCTTTGATTAATTATTTGTCTTTAGGAAATCATTGATGTGTAACTTAAAAAATTTCCAGCCCTAGCTGGTTTGGCTGAGTGGATAGAGCCGAAGAGTCCCAGTTTCAATTCTGGTCAAGGGCATGTACCTCCGTTGCAAGCTCCTCCCCGGCCCAGGCCCTAGTCGGGCTCCTGCAGGAGGCAAGCAATCAATGTGTTTCTCTTACATCGCTATTTCTCTCTGTCTTTCCCTCTCTCTCCACTATTTCTAAAAATCAATAGAAAAATATCCTCAGGTGAGGATTAAAAAACAAACAAAAAATTTCCAAATGTTTTTGAAACTATATATTTTAGTTTGTACCATCTATTTTATGTCAAGTTTAAAAAATAGTATTTTTCTTCCTTTGGCCTAAATATTGGCAGCAGATGTGGTAAATTGATCTGTATTTTGATTTTGTATATTTCAAGAATGCTCTGCTTCACCATTTGTAATTTCAAGCTGAAGTGTTTTTCTCTCTACTATGAGTCCCTTTGTTATATTCTTGCTTTCCCTTCTTCTCAGTGCCCAGTTTCTTTGATCATGCCACTTGTCCTTCACTAGCACTCTTCTAGTGCTTTGTTGAGAGGCAGAATTTCAATAGGCATCAGATACTTAGGATTCCAGGAAAAGGCTGATCATGGTTTGTAAAAGAGGGTCATGTTCCAGAAAAAGTCAAGAACCATGTGATTTCACTCATATGTAGGATATAAAACTGAAAACAACAAGTAAACAAGACAAACAAAAATTCATAGACGTAGACAACAGTATGGTGGTTACCAGAGGGAAAGGGGGAGGTAGTAGAGGGTAAAGGAGGTTAAATATATAGTGATGGACGGAGATTTGATTTTGGGTAACAGCAAACACACAATACAATATACAGATGACATATAGAATTGTACACTTGAAACCTATATAATTTTATTAACCATTGTCACCCCAATCCTCCTATATAATAAAAGCCTAATATGCTAAGTGTCTGGTCGACTGGTCGACTGGTCGGTCATTCAACCAATCAAAGCGTAATATGCTAATAATATGATAAGGCAGCTAAACTGCTGGCTATGACATGCAGTGACCACCAGGGGGGGCAGACGCTCTGACCGGTAGGTTAGCTTGCTGCTGGGGTCTGACTGATCGGAACTGAGAGAGATTGCTGGGGTCCAGCCCCAGCAGGTCCAGGGGTCCCCAAAGGTGTGGATGGAGTTGGCGAAGAAGGAATGACACGGAGACAGCGTTCAGTTGATCAGCAGCCTAGCCAGGATCTCTAGCCAAGTTCTGGTCAGGATCTCCAGCGAAGTTCTGGTTAGGATCTCCAGCCAGGTTCTGTGTCCATGTTCTCTTGCTAGGTTCTCCAGCCAGGTTCTCCAGGTTCTCCAGCCAGGTTCTGTAGCCATGTTCCCTCGCTAGGTTCTCCAGCCAGGTTCGGTCACCAGATTCTGTAGCCAGGTTCTCCAGCCAGGTTCTGGCTAGGTTCTCCAACCAAGTTCTGTAGCCAGGTCCTGTCCAGGATCTTTTGCCAGGTTCAGTCACCAGGTTCCAGTCAGGTTCTCTTGCCATGTTCTATCCAGGTTCTGTAGCCAGGTTCTGTCTCTAGGTTCTTCAGCCAGGTTCTCTCGCTAGGTTCGGTCTCTAGGTTCTGTGGCCAGTTTCTGTCCAGGATCTTTTGCCATGTTCTCTCCAGCGAAGTTCTTCTGTCTCTAGGTTCTGTGTAGGTTCTGTGTCTAGGTTCTGTGTCCTGTTGTCTTGTTACATCTGTATTTATACCAGTTGATTCCAATCCTATCAATCTCTATTCCAAAGGTTAGGGCGTTTCTTATCTCCATTCAAGGGAGTAAAGATTATGTAGCTTAAGCATGATTGTTCATAGTTAAAGTGATTAATTACCCACCTGGCACTTAGTTAAGGGGCTTTATTCCCTCCCTAACTTCAGGGGAAAATCCCTACCTGGGGAAACAACCTTTCTCAGAGAGGTGACCTTGGTTAAAACACATAGTGCCAAGAAGGTGAGCAAACATATTAAGAACAGTATGCCATATATGCCAGGTCCCTTGAAACAGCAAGGATGGACCGGCTCCCAGCAAGAGATGGGCTGGACATGCCCTGGAGCCCTCCCCAGCTGGCCAACCTCCCATGTCCCTGCCTGGCCCCGATCGTGCACTGGTGGGTTCCCTTGGCCTGGCCTGCCCCCTCTTGCAATCCGGAACCCCTCGCGGGATGTCAGAGAGCTGATTTCAACCTGATCCTGCAGGCCAGGCTGAGGGACCCCACTGGTGCATGAATTCATGCACCAGGCCGCTAGTAAATTTAATTAAAAAGAAAGACGAAAGAGGGTCATGTTTTCTCATTTCTTTCTTATAATGCTGTCTAAAATTTTATTTGCTGCCCTAGCTGGTTTGGCTCAGTGGATAGAGCGTTGGCCTGCAGACTGAAGGGTCCCGTATTTGATTTCAGTAAAGGGCACATGCCCAGTTGCAGGCTCGATCCCCAGTAGGTTGCATGCAGGAGGCATGCATACCAGTATGTTAAGTTTTAGCTCAAATATTCATTTTCTATTATAAATTCATGCCTTAGAGCCCAATCCTCTCTAATTTGGATTATATTTATAAATTCTAAACTTTTCTTTTAAGCCAGTGAACCACTGTGGCTTTGATATAATGAAGACGAAGTGTTAATAATGCAGTTATTTGAGAATTTATTCTACTTTGCTTTGTTGGATAAGTGTTAATATTCTTTCCCCACCAATATGTAGATTAATAAGTGTACCGGTTAATAATGCGGATATTTTTCAATAGATGGAGTTACACATATGTTGATATATATGCGATTTGATATGTATGCTATTTTGTTGTATTGACAACAAGCTTCTAAACTTCCTATGTCAAATTTTCTGAAGGTGTTAGCATCATAGATATTTTTATGCTTAAAAATGTCGAATTTTATGCCAAAAAAAGAGCATTTGCAGGAAGGTTTAATTCATTACTTTATTTTGAAGAAAAGTGCTGCTGAAAGTTATCGTATATATACTTCGGGAAGCTTATAGTGAACATGCTCCATCTCAAGATACTTGAGAACACTGGTTTAAACGCTTTAAAAGTGATGATTTCGATGTGAAAGACAACGTCCAGGTCAACCGAAAAAGTTTGAAGACCAACAATTACAAGCATTTTTGGATGAAGATGCATGTCAAACTCAAAAACAACTTGCAGAAAGATTAAACGTTGCTCATCAAACAATTTCTGATGGTTTACAAGCAATGGGAAAGATTTTAAAGGAAGCAAAATGGGTGCCATGTCAACTGAACAAAAGGCAAATGGAAAACCAAAAAGTCATCAGTAAAATGTTGTTTCAATGGCAAGAAAGAAAGTCTTTTTTTTGCATCGAATTGTGACTGGTAATGAAAAGTGGATTTATTTTGAGAATCCCAAATGCACAATATCATGGGTTGATCCAGGTCAACCATCAACATCAACTGCAAGGCGCTCTGCATTTGGTGGGATCAGGAAGGTGTGGTGTATTATAAGCTTCTAAAACCAGGTGAAACCATTAATACTTATCCCTACCAACAACAAATAATCAATTTGAACCACGCTTTGATCATGAGACAATCAGAATGTTCCAGAAGACAAGGCAAAGTAATTTTGGTTAATGATGATGCACCATCACACACTTCAAAACTAGTTAAAGACACATTAAAAGATCTTGCCTGGGAAGTATTAACCCACCCACTGTATTCACCAGACCTTTCTCCTTCAGATTACTACTTGTTTCGATGGATGGCATACACACTTTCTGAGCAGCACTTCTAAACGTACAAAGAAGTGGAAAACTGTGTCTCTGAATGGTTTGCCTCAAAATGAGAAAAGTTCTATTGGGACGGTATCCGCAAATTTCCTGAAAAATGGGGGAAATGTGTAGCTAGCGATGGACATTACTTTGAATAAAGCACTTTTGATGTTTCTCTTAAAATTATGAGTTTTCTTTGATAACAAAATCTGCATTATTAACTGGTACACCTAGTAGATTATATTTTAAGCAAACATCCTCAGATTTTTAATTATATATAGGAATTAATTCTAATAAACTTCATATTCCACACACATTAAGCATGCATTTGATATTTTGTTTAGCCAGTGTTTTTCTGTAGAGGAAAAATTATAAGTAGTAATCTTAAATATAATCTTATGCTAATATTCTTTTACAGAAAGTAATATGTTAGTTCTTACCTTTTTAAGGTATAACAAAAAAGTAGAGATTTAAAATTTACAATTAATATTTTTTATGTTTCTATTACATTGCTAATTTTTCCATGCTTTAGTACTTTTAAGACATGTATCTATTGGGCCTGACTGGTGTGGCTCAGTGGTTGAGCATTGACTTGGAGGTCAGGTCTTGAATCCTGATGAGGGCACATGCCTGGGTTGTGGACTCCATCCCCGGTAGGGGGTGTGCAGGAGGCAGCAGATCAGTGATTGTCTCCAGTCATTGATATTTCTGTCTTTCTCCCTCTCTCTTCCTCTCTGAAACCAGTAAAAAATATATATTAAAAAAAGACATGTATATGTCAGGATGCTTTTTTAAGATAGAAATTGCCAATTGCCATCATTTATTGATGGATATATATTGCTTTCTCTTTTAACACATGTAATACTCATTTCTTTATATTTGCACCAGAAATTACTTCCAATTTCATCATGAATATTGGAATCTAACGTAAGAAAACTAGTTTTTTGTCACATACTTAACTAAAATTTTGCCTTAACAATTAATGACAAATCTGTTTTACAGAACTCTAAAAGATTTTGAGATTATACAAGGAATGAAAATGAAACTAAATCCTCAAAATTCTGTAAGTAACTATGCTGGAACATTTTTATTATAACATAAACTGTCTGTCTGCTGAGGTTATTATCTTTGAATCTAGAACTTTATTGTGATATGCTAAAGGTATATGTTGTTTTATTTCTGATCCTTGGTTTTGGTGAATAAAGGCATTGAAATATTTGATTCATATGTCTGAGACTGACGTTTCCAGGAAAACCCAGTATATCTTTGTTGGTTAGTTGACATAATATGTATGTGCACACACACACACATATATATATATGTATATTAACACATGTATATTAATATACACTCACGCAATGGCTTCCTCCATTCTGTAGAAAGTTGGCTTCTTTGTTTGAAGCAGCCTTAAAGGAGCCTAGGTGTATGCTTGATCTGGCAGGTGACAATTTTAACCATCAGTGATAATGTTGCAGTTTACTTGTTTGCTAATTTGTGGAACTCAAATCAATATGAATGACAAAGTATACCCATTCTAAAAATACTTGTGTTTTTTTCAATCCCAAGATCAAAGGATCACATGATGTTATAATACAAACTTACATGTCCTTATGGTGAGAATGCTGGCCAAGTGATTGGGGTGCTCTGAGAATGATAGAATTCCAGGTATTAGGATCCTGCTTCCCATATGTTTTGAGGGCGCTACAGGATTGCTGGGGTTGTCTAAGCCAATGTTCTGTCAGTGTTGTCGTATCAGCTTCCCAGATGCAGCCACTCAGAAAGAGATTAATGCTATTAAATTCACCTATTTCTAGAGTAGCATATCAATTTTTTTTTTCTGTTCATCAGATTATTTAGTCACTTGATTCTTAGATTCACTTGTTGATAGATGCATATTTGTTGTTCATAATTTGTACCTTTACTTTTTTCTTCCTCTTCCTCTTCTTAAAGGATACCTTTCAGCATTTCATATAATACTGGTTTGGTGGTGATGAACTCCTTTAGCTTTTCCTTATCTGTGAAGCTCTTTATCTGACCTTCAATTCTGAATGATAGCTTTGCTGGATAAAGTAATCTTGGTTGTAGGTTCTTGGCATTCATCACTTTGAATATTTCTTGCCACTCCCTTCTGGCCTACAAAGTTTCTGTTGAGAAATCAGCTGACAGTCATATGGGTATTCCCTTGTAGGTAACTGAGTTTCTTTCTCTTGCTGCTTTTAAGATTCTCTCTTTGTCTTTTACTCTTGGCATTTTAATTATGATGTGTCTTGGTGTGGTCCTCTTTGGATTCCTTTTGTTTGGGGTTCTCTGCGCTTCTTGGACCTGTAAGTCTATTTCTTTGACCAGGTGGGGGAAGTTTTCTGTCATTATTTCTTCAAATAGGTTTTCAATATCTTGCTCTCTCTCTTCTTTTGGCACCCCTATAATTCTGATGTTGGTACTCTTGAGCTGTCCCAGAGGCTCCTTACACTATCTTCGTATTTTCGGATTCTTTTTTCATTTTGCTTTTCCGGTTGGGTGTTTTTTGCTTCTTCACATTTCAATTCTTTAACTTGATTCTTGCGCTCCTCTGGTCTGCTGTTGGATGTCTGTATAATATTCTTTATTTCAGTCAGTGTATGCTTAATTTCTAGTTGGTTCTTTATCACAACATCGAGGGTCTCATTAGATTTCTTGAGGATCTCACTACATTTATTGGCAGTTTTTAGAAAATTATTGAAAGACCTTAAAAGTGTGGTTTTGAGCTCTATATCTTCCATTTCTGACATCTGCGTCCTGTTTCTTTGTCTCCGCATTTGTTATGCTTTCTTGGTGCAACCCCTAGTGGTCTTTATGCGCAGTCTTGTTGTAGTTAAGCCTAGATTGTTGTAGGTAATACTGGCGGGGATTTGACCTCCAGGCCAACTGGCTGTGAGAAAATCTCAATTTCTTAATTTATGGTAGGAATTGTATCTAGCAAAATAACAGTCATCTGTACACGTTGCTTAGGTAGGCAAATCCACTTAAGAAACCAGGTAATGGGTCAGAATATAGAAACGAAAAAATAAAATGTGTTGCGAAAAGCTAATTAAAAGCTAATATGACTTGAAACTATTCTCCCTAGACATTTTTTTTTTAAATGTGTTTTTATTGATTTCAGAGAGGGAGAGAGAGAAAGAAACATAAATGATGAGATAGAATCATTGATCAGCTGCCTCCTGCACATTCCCTACTGGAGATGGAGCCCACAACCCAGGCATGTGCCCTGACTGGGCATTGAACCCTGACCTCCTGGTTCATAGGTTGACGCTCAACCACTGAACCACACTGGCAGGCTCTGATAAGTGAGTCAACAGTCTGATGTTTATATAGTCATTGATGAAGGTTATTTGGCAGGCATTTATTAAATGCCCATCTTCTCACAAAGAATGTGTTTTGGTGAATGGTTCCGCTACTCACTCTCTTCCCCAAGACGGAACCTGGACTTACTTTATGCCAGTCGTTCTCAAAGTGTGTTTGCTGGGCCAGAAGCAGTAGCATCACCTGGGAACTTACTAGAAGTACAAATTTTCCAGCCCCATCTGAGTCTCACTGAGTCTTAAGTCCCACAATTTTGTGTTTCAACAAGCCCTCCACATGACTTTCCCCCAACGCTTTATAATCAGTTATCAAGTCCTATAGATTCTACCTTCTTGAGAACTCCATGTTCCCTACTCTACAGGCTCATTGCCATAGTCCTGGTTGAGGTCATTATTACTACTACTCACCCATATTGTTGCCAAACTGGTTTTCTAGCCTTTTGTCAGGCCCCCTTCAAAACCATCCTGGATTGTGAGTGCCTAGCAATGTACCTAGCTCAGTGTTAGACACAGAGTATGTACTCAGCACCTACCTGAAATAGAAACTAATGAATTAATTAATCATCATCAGAGGGATTTTTCTAAAAAGCAAATCTGATCTTGTCACTCTCTTGTTTAACATTTTTCTGTTTCTCGATGCAAATCTGATCTTGTCACTCCCTTGTTTAACATTTTTTCTGTCACTCCATGTAATTCTTCCTGTTTCTTAGTTTTTTCCCATCAAGCCTTTGGTGATTTTGACCCTACCTGCTTCTCTAGCCTTATTTTCTGCTGTACTTATGAGCCAAGTTAGTGCCCTTTGCTCTCTACTAATACCTGTATGGTGCTTTTGCACTCTCTTCACTTACTTTAGCTTTGCTTTCCCTTGTTCTTTAATTCTTTTGTTCTTTAATTCTAACTGACATTTATGTGCCAGCAACTATGGTAGTTAGCTTCCAATAATTCACAAATATCATATACCAGGATGCCTTTCCCCCTTTCTCATCTGGATTAAGTGATCCTATTCTTCAAAACTCAACTCACCTCCAAATATTTCCGGATTCCATTGCGATTTAAATAACCTTTCTCCTAGGCTCTGTGTCAATGATTCAACATCACAGACAGGATATACCATTGGTTTCAATGCTCTAGGATTGTTGACCCACTTATCTTTCTACTGCCTGCAACATCATTGGCCCCTTGGCACGAGTCATGTCCTTTTTTTTTTTTTTCTATCATTAGAGCCTGCACTCTATACCAGCAGATAGTAAATGATCATCTGTTGGAGGAAATATGTGCCAGGAACTGAACACTCAGGGACTAGAAAAATAAAATAAACCTACAAGTATCTTATGTTGGAGTACGTCCATGATAGACATATGATCGTGGAATATGAGAAAGAGTACCTTATTGTTCAAGGAGATGATATCTAAAGTGAAATTTAAAGGATAATGGTAATAAGGATAGAAGCTAACATTTACAGAGCTCTTACTCAATGCCAGGTGTTCTGTTTAATAGTTTAAGTGCATTAAGCAATCCTGTTTGGGAGGTGCTGTTCACTCAGTCACCAAATAGCTATTGGGTGAATACTGAGTATCAGGCGGTGTTCAGGTTGCCACCAGGATATAATAGGGGAAAATGCAAACAAGTTCCTTGCCCTCATGAAGCTTAGGGGAAGAAAGCACAACACATGAAAAAATAAACATGTGCTGTGCCATATGGGGATATAAAGACTATAGATATGACATTGAAGAAAGAAATTAAGGCAGATACAAATAAGTGGAAACATATACCATGTTCATAGATTGGAAGAATTAACATCATTAAAACGGCTATACTACCCAAAGCAATCTATAGAGTCCCTGCAATTCCTATTAAAATACCAATGGTATATTTCAAAGACCTAGAAAAAAATTCCAGGACAGCTCCGAGGGCATTGGAAACTAAAGAGAAAATAAACAAATGGGACTACATCAAAATAAAAAGCTTCTGCATAGCAAAAGAAACCATCAACAAAACAACAAGAAAGCCCACTGCATGGGAGAACATATTTGCCAATGTTATCACTGATAAGGGTTTAATCTACACCATTTATAGGGAACTCATACAACTTAACAAAAGGAAGATAAACAATCCAATGAAAAAATGGGCAAAAGACCTAAGTAGACACTTTTCAAAGGAGGACATTCAGAAAGCCAAGAGACATATGAAAACATGCTCAAAGTCACTAATCATCTGAGAGATGCAAATCAAAACAACAATGAGGTACCATCTCACACCTGTCAGAATGGCTATCATCAACAAATCCACAAACGACAAGTGCTGGAGAGGATGCGGAGAAAAAGGAACATTTGTGCACTGCCGGTGGGAATGCAGACTGGTGCAACCACTATGGAAGACAGTATGGGGTTTCCTCAAAAAGTTAAAAATGGAACTCCCATTTGACCCAGTGATCCCACTTCTAGGAATATATCCCAAGAAACCAGAAACACCAATCAGAAAGGATATATGCATCCCTATGATCATAGCAGCACAATTTACCATTGCTAAGATTTGGAAACAGCCTAAGTGCCCATCAGCAGATGAATGGATTAGAAAACTGTGGTACATGTACACAATGGCATACTATGCTGCTGTAAAAAAGAAGGAATTCTTACCATTTGTAACAGCATGGATGGAACTGGCTAAGTGAAATAAGCCAGTCAATGAAAGAAAAATACCATATGATCTCACTTATGGATAATAAAGACCATTACAAACTGATGAACGAAAATAGATACAGAGGCAGAGCAACATCGAGCAGAATGTCAGACTACAGCGGGAAGCCCGGGGAGGGTTGGGGGAGGGAAAGAGATCAAAGGACTTGTATGCATGTATATAAGCATAACCAATGGACACAAGACACTGGGGGTTAGGGAAGGCCTGGGGAAGGTCAAGGGGGAAAAATAAAGGAGACATCTGTAATACTCTTTGTAATATTTTAAGCAATGAAACAAATTTTTTTTTTTTTTTAAAAAAGACCCCGAATAGCCACAGAAATTTTGGGGAAAAGAACAAGGTTGGAGGTATCACAATATCAGATATCAAACTACTACAAGGCCATTGTAGTCAGAATATCCTCGTACTAACATAAGAACTGGCATATAAACCAATGGAACAGAACAGAGACCTCAGAAACCAATTCAAGCCATTATGCTCAATTCCTATTTGACAGAGGAGGCAAGAGCATACAATGGAGTCAAGACAGTCCCTTCAATAAATGGTGTTGGAAAAATTGGACAGATACATGAAAAAAATAAAACTAGACCACCAACTTACATCATACACAAGAATAAACTTAATATGGCTAAAAGATTTAAATGTAATACACAAAACAATAAAAACCCAAGAAAACATTAGCAGTAGAATCTCAAGACATCTCTCACAGCACTATTTTTGCTGATATGTTTCTGGGGGCTAGGGAAACTCAGGAAAAGATAAGCAAATGGGACTACATCAAGCTAAAAAGCTTCTGCACAGAAAAACAAAACAACAAAATGAAAAGAGAGCCCACTGTATGGAAGAACATATTTGCCAGTGATACATCTGATAAGGAGTTAATTTCCAAAATATATAAAGAATTTATCCAATTCAACAATGGGAGAATAATCCAATAAAAAAAAATGAGCACAGGACCTGAATAGATACTTCTCCAAAGAGGACATACAGATGGCCAATAGATATGAAAAAATGATCAAGGTCACTAATCGTAAGAGAGATGCATATTAAAACTACAATGAGCCCTGGCCAGTTGCTCAGTGGTTAGAGTGTTGGCACAGGGATGGCAGGGTCATGGGTTCAATTCCCTGTCAAGAGCACGTACCTCGGTTGCAGGCTCGATCCCTGTCCCAATCAGGGTACATGTGGCAGGCAGCCAGTCGATGTCCTCTTTCTCTCTCTTCCTCCCTCTCTCCCTCCCTCCCTTCCACTCTTTCTCTCAAGATCAATGAAAAAAATATCCTTGGGTGAGGATTTAAAAAAAAAACAACTAAAATGAGTTATCACCTTACACCTGCCATAATGGTTACCATCAATAAATCAACTAACAGCAAGTGCTGGCAAGGATTTGAAGAAAAGGAAATCCTAGTGCACTATTAGTGGGAATGCAGATTGGTACAGCCACTGTGGAAAACAGTATGGAGTCTCCTCAAAAAATTAAATGTAACTGCCTTTTGACCCAGCAATCTACTTCTGGGAATATATCCCAAGAATCTTGAAACACCAATCAAAAAGAATACATGCATTTCTGTGTTCATAGCAGACTTGTTTACAATAGCCAAGATCTGGAAACCGCCCAAGTGTCCATCAGCAGATGAGTGGATAAAAAGTTGTGGTACATTTACACAATAGTATACTATACACTGTAAAAAAGAAGGAACTCTTACCCTTTGTGACAGCATCGAAGGACCTGGAGAGTACTGGTATTATGCTAGAGGAAATAAGCCATTCATAGGAAGACAAATACCATATGATGGTACTAATATGTAAAATCTAATGAAAAAAATAAACCTATGATCAAAATGGAACTGGCCCCATGGATACATGGAACAGATTGGCGGGTGCCAGAGGAAAAGGAGGTGGGGGGCACTGAATAAAGAAGGTGAAGGTATTAGCTAAAGAACATATATCCATGCCCCATGGACATGGACAATAGTGTGGTGAAGGCCAAGGGAGAGGGAGGGGGGTATAGTTGGAGGTGGGTAAAGAGAGGGGAAGGGGAGACATCTACAGTGTCAACATTAAAATTTTTTAATAAAAATACAAAGTGAATAAAGGCTATAGGGAAAATAATGCAGAGAAAAGGGGATGGAGGTTGCTATTTTATACGTATTGGTCAGTAAGTGGACTTGAGCAAAAACTTGGAAGAAGTGAGGAGTATGCTATGGAGACAGCACAGAGAAGGCCATTCTAAGAGAGAGGTAGCAGGTGCAGGGGCCTGAGGCAGGAGGCTGCCATGTGTGATCAGGGAGCCATGGGGAGGCCAGTGCAGGCAGAGTAGACCGAGGGAGGGGGACAGCCTGGAAGAGATCAGGTCACATAGGAGGAGAACAAGAAAGCATCAGTGAGCAGAAATAAGTTTTCCAAGTCTTAAAACTAGTGTGGATCAAAGACTTGAACCCAAGTAGTCTGACTTTGCCGACTTGCCTCTGAAACACTCTTTGTCACCTGCGTAGTTTGTGGGGAGGATGATCCTTCAGGTATCCACGCTTGTCTTTTTCATTGTTCTGTACCAGTCGTCAAAAACAGTGTTATTATAGCATTTCTCCATGACATATTTTTTTTGCTAAGATTAGAGTTAATTCTGCTTTAGTTACATTTTAAATTGTTGCTTTCATTTTGGGGATCCACCCTAAGCTTCTTGCTTAGGTTTAGAAAGAACGTAATCTTACCTTTAATACACTAATCTTACCTCCATTATGTTTTATGGATTATATTTTGGGAGAAATCTCAACATGGCTGATTTAATCTATTAATGTTGACTTTTATTAGTTTATATTTTAAAATGATATTTCTTTACCTTTTCCCCAAATTCTGGGATTATGCCTTACTTATAACTCTCACTCATTGATTACAGAAAAGTTAAAATAAAGAGGCAGTTATTTCCTGCCAAGTCATGACTTTTTAGGGTTTTATAGAACTTTTCTGATATAATAACTGGTTTACATCTTATAAACTAGCTAAATTATTGATAAAAGTTGTGAAATAGTCGATAGCTTTCATAACAGTGAACTTTTTCATTGTAGGAATTAATGCCTTGGGATCCCCCCTACTACAGTGGTGTGATTCGTGCAGAAAGGTAAGTTTTTTGAGAAGGAAGAAAAAAATTAGTATTTATTGAGCACTTTGCACATTAATTGTACAACTACTTTCCTTACTCAGTTGCCCACGTTACAAACTTCTGTCTTCTCCAGTTCAGTCCCTCTGCTGGCATGATCAGCATCTGCCCACATTTAATATGGATTACAAAAGCTATGCTCTCAGTCACAGTAACATGCTTTACCTCTCCCCCACAAGCCTATTCTATAGCTTATGTCATTTCCTGTTTAAGACTTTAAAAATCTCTCCCCATGATGTCTAGAATCTTGCCCTTCTCCTGTGTGTAGCTTCCAGGTTCTCTTTCTAGACTTTGAACATTTGGGGGACTGGAACTTTGCTAGAACCCTATTGTATCCTGTTTCTGGTTGAGGGTAGTGGTCAGCAAATATTTGTTGAACCAATGAAGGAATAAAGTAGTACTTGGGATCTGGAAGGATATAAATGAAATTAAAACTTAGGAAACAAGTTGATTATTCCTCTGGCTTCTGTATTCGCCTGTGTGTATTTTATTGTGGCAAAGTGTAGATATTTTTTCCTAAAAATTCCCTGCCTCTGTAATTTTTATATTTGCATATAAACCCAAGAAATATGGAGTTCTACTTAAAATGAACACATTTTAAAATGTAATGTCCCAAGGAACTGTATATGCACAATATGAATTTTTAAAAACTCTTAGGATCCTACTCTTTAGCAAAGCATTAACATTTTTCTGTTTCTTTTTTTTTAATCCTCACCCGAGGATATGTTTTACTGATTTCAGAGAGGGAAACATTGATGTGAGAAAGAAACATCAATTAATTGCCTCCCTTACATGCCCCAACTGGGTATCAAACCCACAACATAAGTATATGCCACGGCTTGGAATCCAATCTTTAACCTTTTGGTGCATGGGATGACACTCCAGTCAATTGAATCATCCAGCCAGGGCTAAAATTTTTCTCTTACAGATTTTTGAGGTATGCAGTTTAACTAAGATAATTAAGGTTGATTTAGGTAATAGAAGAAAATAAAAGTTTTGTGCCTTTTTCTTCATTAATGCATGTTAGCATATATCACGATAATAATATATTTGTTTTATTGGTATTAAACTTTAAAGTGTTTTTATTACTATGTATTATTCAAACATCAAGTACTAAGTACTTCACTAAAATTAGACTTTTTAAAAATTATTTCTTTTGGTATTTGTCATACAACAGAAATGAATAACTTTATATGTTCTTTTCTGCATCAGCAGGAAGAGGTGCTTCAGAATCAATTAGTGTATTGAAAAGTTCACCCACATAATTTTTATTTATTTTCCACTCTTTGGCTTCTTTATTATATCTCTGTTCCCCAAATCAGTTTACTGCCAAAGCACAATTGTCTCATAGCCAGGAATAATACTTCATCAAATACAATTTTTTATACATTATCTCGAATTCAACATGTCATTTTCTCTATAAAAGCACATAAACTGTTATTCAAAATCTGTAATAATTTGTTTATGATAAACAGTAAGTGCTTAGAATATATTATAGCTTAACATAAGGTATTGTTTTACTAATACACTGTTCCCTATAGTTGCATAAAAATATAATTTATCTTTTAAAATTCTTTCAAAGAAAGATTTGGCTTGGATGATTGGCCTGTTAAGATGTAGCATAGCCCTAACCGGTTTGGCTCAGTGGATAGAGCGTCGGCCTGCGGACTGAAAGGTCCCAGGTTTGATTTCCGATCAAGGGCATGTACCTTGGTTGCGGGAGCATCCCCAGTGGGAGATGTGCAAGAGGCAGCTGATCAATGTTTCTCTCTCATCGATGTTTCTAACTCTCTATCCCTCTTCCTTTCTGTCTGTAAAAAATCAATAAAATACATTTAAAAAAAAGATGTAGCATAAAGGAATAAAATTTTTTCTTAATGCTTTCCATATTTATGTATTTTTTTTACTTTGAAAATTAGTATGTTCAGTATATTTTTTTCTTTCTAATTTTTTGATGTCTGATTTTTATGTGGTATTTGTCCATATCATGTTTATTAATTAATGCCATAGCCTTAAATTTAATATTTTTGTCATTTAACTGTATTTTGTAAATATAGCATGCCCAAATGGTGGTTCTATGGAAATTACATAAGAATATTAGAAGATTTGGAAAGATAAAATCAATTGGAATTTAAAGGAGATGTACTAATTAGGTGTATAAAATCTCTGTACAGTTTAATAGTGACCTTAAACAAAAGCTGTTGAATAAATGGTAGTGACTTCCTCTTCTCCATTTCTACCAAAAATACAACATTGGAAAGTTTTTATGTTGCTAACAGAAAGTCCCCAAATAAGTTGTGATTTCTCACAACCTCTATACCAACCACAGAGATGGGGTTTTATTGTCCGAATCAGCCACTTGAAAGAATGGGAACCCTTGAATTTCCAGGGCAGTGTGGCCAGGAGCATGTTTCCTGAAGTCAGAGGGACCTGGGCAAGTCCTGGTTCCACCATTAAATGAGCTACACACAACCTTTAGAAAGTTATTTATCCTCTCTAAGTCTCTTAGCAAGGTTATCTATAAAATGAGGGTTATTATAGTCTCTACTTCATATGTCAGGATTAAATGAAATAATGCTTGTATTATTAGTACTAAAATAACATTATTATATGGGTTTGGACATCTGTGGATATTCTTCTGGAGAATGGTCCATTATGAAAGATGCTTTTTAAGTGTTCTCAAAAATCTTTTGAAAGAGGGGTCAGTTCTCCCTTAAAGCTTCTCGAAGGAAACACTCATCTAATGAGTGTATCAAATTAGTTGTAGAATGTTCATTAGAAAAGTTTTAAGATTTGATTTTATTGATTTCAGAGAGAGGAAGGAAGAGGGAGAGACAGAAACATCAAAGATGAAAGAGAGCCCTAACTGGTTTGGCTCAGTGGATAGAGCATTGGCCTGCGGACTGAAAGGTCCCAGGTTCGATTCCGGTCAAGGGCATGTACCTTGGTTGCAGGCACATCCCCAGTAGGAGGTGTGCAGGAGGCGGCTGATCGATGTTTCTCTCTCATCGATGTTTCTGACTCTCTGTCCCTCTCTTTTCCTCTCTGTAAAAAATCAATAAAATATATTTTTAAAAAAAGATGAAAGAGAATTGTTGATCAGCTGCCTTCCGAACGCCCCCCACCCCCACTAGGAATCGAGCCCACAACCCCCTCCTCCCCCCCACCCCCCAGGCATGTACCCTGACTGGGAATCGAATTGTGATCTCTTGGCTTATAGGTCAATGCTCAACCACTTAAACACACCTGCCAGGCCAGCAAAGCTTTAGATTAGGGGTGGGGAAACTTTTTTTCTGCCAAGGGCCATTTGGATTTTATAACATCATTCACAGGCCATACAAAATTATCAACTTAAAAATTAGACTGCTCTATTTGGTCAATCATTTAATTAACTCACCCCTAATGCCTTGGCAGAGCCAGACCTAATGATTGTTCAGGCCTTATATGGCCTGCAGGATGGATGTTCCCACCCCTGCTTTAAATGACAGATTAAGGATACTGAATCAGGGAAGTCCATCTTGCCACTGTATCCAGAGTGGAGGAACCCTGTGTGGTTGGCAGGACAGTTCATTTTTGGATCCTACCCTTTTCAGGGTTGTGGGATCATTACTGCCTTCAAAATAACATTAGAGTTTTCATTCAAGGCCTTCTAGGATCTGATCACAACCCATTCTTCTTTAACAATCCTATCTAATAATAGAGAAACATGGTAATTAACCGTAACTTTGCTACCCTTCCCATTGGCTAATCAGCAAGATATGCAAATTAACTGCCAACCAAAATGGCGGCCGGCAACCAGGCAGCGGAAGCGAAAAGGAGGCTTGCTTGCTTCAGTGATAGAGGAAGCCAAGGTTCCCCGCCTGCCGCCTCCGGCCTCTGAGCTTGCACTCTAAGCAACTATGTTGCAATTATAGGAGCTAAACAAGCTCCAGAAACCTGCTTTCAGCCGTCAGAGCTGGAGCGAGCAGGATCGCAACAGTGTTACAATTATAGAATCCAAACAAACCCAGATACCTGCTTTCAGCAGCTGAGGTCTCAGAGCTGGAGCCTATCCTCAGAGCTATAGCCGGCTCTCAGCTCCAATGACAGCCATAGAAGGTACACAAATCCCAGAATAAAAAAAAAAAAGAAAAAAAGGAGAGGTTGGGAGCTTCAGTCACCCGCCAGCCTGAAAATGGCCCTCAGCCCCTCACCCAGACTGGCCAGGCACCCCAGTGGGGACCCCCACCCTGAAGGGGGTGTGACCAGCTGCAAACAGCCATCACCCCGTCAACCAGGCTGGACAGGCACCCCAGTGGGGACCCCCACCCTGAAGGGGGTGTGACTAGCTGCAAACAGCCATCAGCCCGTCATCCAGGCTGGCCATGCACCCCAGTGGGGACCCCCACCCTGAAGAGGGTGTGACCAGCTGCAAAAAGCCATCATCCCCTCATCCAGGCTGGCCAGGCACCCAAGCGGGACACCCCCACTGATCCAGGACACCCTTCAGGGCAAACCAGCCGGCCCCCACCCGTGCACCAGGCCTCTATCCTATATAGTAAAAGGGTAATATGCCTCCCAGCACCAGGATCAGTGGAGCTGTGAGGCCTCCCGGCACTGGGATCAGCGGAGCTGCGAGGCCTCCTGGCACTAGGATCAGCGGAGCAGTGAGGCCTCCCAGCACTGGTATCAGCAGAGCAGTGAGGCCTCATTGCCCCTGTGTCAAGCGGAGCTGCGAGGCCTCCCAGCAATGGGATCAGCGGAGCCGCCAGGCCTCCTGGTCCCTGGAGCAGCGTGACAGGGGGCAGCGCCCAAACCCCCTGATCACCCTGTGGCTCTGTGTGTGACATGGGGCGGGGCCGCAACCTCCCTATCCACCCTGCTCTGTTCGTGACAGGGGAAGGCGCCACAACCCCCTGATCGGCCCTGCTCTGTGCCTGATAGCGGGGAGCTCCCCAACCCCCTGACCGGCCCTGCTCTGC